TACCGGCGGCTGAACTTGATGTTGTTGCTGCGCTGGTGGTGGCGTTGGTGTTTGTGGTGGTGGTGGTGTCTGTAGAGGTTGTAGATTCTGCTGCTTTTGTTGCTGTGGCGGTGGCGGTGGCGGTGGCTGCTGTGAGATTTGAGTGACGGGATTGTTCGAGTTTTGTTCGGTTATCTTCTGTAAGAATGTGATGACGGCGGCGTCTTTAGCGGCGGCGATGGATCTCTCCTGCACCAGAAGCTCATGCTCCCGGTTCATCTTCGCCATCTCTTCTATTCTCCAAGCTTCTTCTCTGGCCATCCGGTCTCGTTCTCGTCTCTCGATCTGATCAAGGAATTTCATCTGCAGCTCCTCTTGTTTATGAATTACTTCCGTCATCAACCTCCCAAAGAAATCCTTCCACTTCCTCTTCCTCTTCCTCCTGAGTTCCGGCGGCTCCTCGTCGGAAGAAGTAGATGAAGACGTGGTGTTCGAAGACGAAAACGGAAAGGCACCTGCACCGCTACCGGTACCACCGTGATTAACCATCGCTGGTGCTGCAACGGAGATAGGACTGACGTTTGTCTGATGAGAATGAGATCCAGTGACGTTGAAAGGAATTACAATAGACGGCTGTGAGAATGGATGTTGAGTGGTGGTGGTTGTCATTCCGGCCGGTGGTCTTTGTGTATTTGCTTCGAGAGCCTCTAATTGATCGAAGAATCGATAGGTTTTTCCGTCGGCTTTGGAGGTGCGACCTTCTTTGGTTCTCTTGTGATATTTGTAGACGTTTTCGAATTTCTCCTTGCATTTCTTCCCACTTCGATGATACCCGAGCTCTCCAAGTTTTCTGACAAAGTAAAAGCTTTGATAAATATCGATAAAACAAACATGGCGTCTGAATTCTGATTGTTATTTGCATAAAATAAACCTTGAGAATTAACGTCACTGAGTAAAACAAGAATCGACTAAATTTGGGCGGAGTCGGAGTGCATTGGGAAAGAGAAAGTTTCCTGTTTGGATCTGGTCATCGTTTCAAATTTGAACAAGTAAAAAAAATAACAATAATTGAAAAATCTGAAAACACGAAGACAAAATTCAAACGGAATTCAAATTCAATTCACGTTTTTCGTCAGCCATTTCTTCATTCCCAAATTTCTTGCACGAAATGCTGAGAACGGAATTCAAATCAATCAACTGGATGATTAATTAATTTAATGTTTGAAGGAGATGTTCAAATTCAATTCACAGATCTGGTTTTCAGTCCAGAATATGAACAAATTCACCTCGAATCGAGAGTAAAACAAAATTGAAGGATTGAATAATTGATTTTACCTTGAAACTTCATCCCATAATGGACCTTTGGCACTCGCATCACGAAAAGCGAAATCCATTTTCGACCGGATTTCAATCAGCGCCAATGTTTCCTTCCTCGGCCATCCGTTTCCACTCCGTTCACCTTCGATTCTTCCTCCAGTTTCTTCTTCGCTAAACCCACCGCCTAATTCAACTGCAACACTTCCATGAGCTTGTACTGGTTGTTGTGGCGGCTGTGCCGGAGTGGCGACATCGCCGGAGTTTCCAATTAATCCCGGAGGTCCCTGCAACATCACCTTTCCTCCTCAGGAAGGAGAAGAAGAAGAAGAAGAAGAAGCAATGTATTGGAAGGAAGACAATTACTGGGGCTTAAAGAAAAGGATAATAAAAATTAAAAATGAAAAAGGAAATAGTGAATAGTGAATTGTTGAGGGTTTTATGATGTGCCTGTGAATTTATTTCGATGGGATCCCTTCGTAATAAAAAATAATATTACGTGGTTTTTTGTTATCTGGAAATTCGAAAAAGAAAAAGAAAAACGAGTAAGTAATAAAAAATGAATAAAAGAAAAAAAGAAATTATTTTGGGTGTGGGGAATCTTTTGGTGTTATTTTTGTTATCATTTTCATGCCGTATATTTCATGTTTCTTTTATAAGAATTATTTACATTTGATCACTTTTAATTGTTTTGATTAAAAAAAGCATAAAAAAGACATGACATGTTGTAAAAGTAGGCAAGTGTGGATGGATGTTTTTCTTTATAACTATAATAATTGTTTGCATTTAGCTTTTTAATTGTTATCCTTTTCAAATTCGAAAAAAGTCATTTCAAGTTGTAAAAGTTAGCAAGTCTGGATAATATTCTTTTTTACTATAAAAATTATTTTTATATTTAAATAGTTCATTTGAAATAACATCTCTAATCATATTTTAATTTTAAAATAAAGTTTAAAATGATTCATCTCCAACTCTATTTAGAATGTTATTCTACACTTTAAAAATAAAATGTAAAAATAAAGTGTGTGAGAGGTTATATAATGTACACTTCAAATTTAGAGTGTTCTAATTCATTTCTTTATTTATAGAGTGTAAGAGTTAGGTTGACCTAGATACAAGGGAGAACTTATTTGGTGTATTGAGGTAGCATGGACTACCCTTTAAATTTTACCGTTAAATGTAAAATTTAGTATAAATTCATCAAAATTGAAGAAGCACTACATCTAGGAATCAACAACACGAAAACTTTGTTATAAACTATCCTTCACAAATCTGTCATGAATCCAATCGAAATTCATCACAAAGTCCTAATAATTGTAAATTTAATATAAACTTGTCGTTGTAACCCTTCTATTTGTAATGAAAACTATCGTCGAAAATAAATTTTTTTAATAGTGCAGCCCTTAAAATAATTATGCAACCACTGATATTTTTTATGTGTTCGCCACCGAGTATATACTCTATTTTACACTAGAAATAAAATGTAATGACAAATAAAAACGATGTTAAAGAGCATAAAAATGACGATTTATTTTCATAAGCAAAAATACTTTGTTTTTAGTGATATAGTTTGTGGTTAACTTCTTAAATAATCATTATCTTTACCGTATTAGTTTTTTTTATTAAGTTTTTTTTATTAAGTTTTATTTAATAATTTTTTGTTATAAATCTTTCTTTTCAAACAAAATTTTTATAAATTAACTAACTTAAACTTTTTATTTATTTTAAATGTTTAAACCACCTCATATAATTATAACCTTTTTAAATGTATTTTATATTTTCGAAAAAAAAACATTACTTACAATAAAATTTAAATAAATAGAAATTCTGCAATACAAATATTAAAAAAGTTTTAGAAAATGTAGTTATAAAAAGTAAAAGGGAAAATTTGTGAAATAGCCAAAAAAGTAAGGTTGTTTGAAAAAAATGACCAAGAAAATGGATGTTTCAGAAAATGACCACGAGTTCTGCAAAGAGGGTCTCTGCAAAAATCCTCCAGCTATGAGGAATTTGAAAAACTCTTAGGAAGTATCATGGCAGAGGTAAAATCGTAAAAACACAAAAAAGAACTTTACAAATTTGAAATGTTGCTACAAATAAATTGTCTTATAAACGTAGTTTTATAGTTTAACTTATCAATGTTATGTGAGAAATGGTGGAACTTCGTTAAATTAATAAGAAAACACTTACCAAAATCGTTTTTTGGTCAGGGTTATGCGAATAATAATTCCTCAAAGGCATGTGTTTGAAGAATAATTCATCAGAGGGACTCTCTAAGGAATTGTTCTTCAAACACATGCCTATGAGGAATTGTTCTTCACATAACCATGGCCAAACGATTTCAAACACAGTTTTTTCAAACGATTTCAAACACAATTTATTCGATTTTGGTAAGTTCAAACACAAGTTTTTTGATTTCAAACACAATATTTCGCAACACCTTTTCAATTTTGTTAAGTTTTCTGTGTTTTTACGAATTTACCTTTGTCATGTCACTTCCTCAAACTTTTTCCAATTCCTCAGAACTGAAGGAATTCCGCAGAGACCCTCTCTGCGGAACTCGTGGTCATTTTCTGAAACATCCATTTTCTTAGTCATTTTTTTCAAACATCCTCACTTTTTTGGTCATTTCACAAATTTTCCAAAATTAAAAAGGTACTGATGAAATATCATGTGACTATGTATTTAATACTTGTTTTATTTTGAAATGGATGGGAAATTACATTTAAATCAGATTTTCTTATAGAATGCATTCTTTTTTATTTTGTGTAATTAAAGAATATGTTAACATTTTAACCATCATATAAGTAGTGTATATAACGAAATATTATTAAATTCAAGGATTGAAATATACAAACATATATGGTGGTTAAAATGTTGGAGTTTACCAAAGGGCTGCTAGCCCAGTTGTATTAGGCGTTGTTCTCCCCCTGTGAGGTCGATGGTTCAAGTCCCGTCGTGGACATTGATGAATTTAGGTGTTAGATTAGGAATAAATTAGACTAGTAAATTCAAAAAAATGTTGGAGTTTGACAAGTAGTTGAAGTGATAATTGTTCTTCACTTCATTATTCAAATCTTTGCATAAGATTCAAGCTTCAAAGTTATCATCTTTATATCAAGAATGTGATCATAAGTGATATAAATGTGATCATAAGTGATATAGTGAATTGACTCTTATCTTTAACTAAACACGTAAAAAAATGAAATCATCTCCCCTCCCCTCCAACTAATACAGGTTTACAGATCAAGAAATTCACGAGTAAATGACCTAAATCTTGTTTTCTAACATTAGTGATGTATTTTATGGTTGGAAAGAAATAGAAAAATATTTATGTAGTTTTGGAGGATAAGAATGATGAAGCCATTGATAAATTGGAGGATGAAAATGGAGACGCGAATGAATACACATTTACATTTGTGGTCGGAAAAAGGAATAACTCAAGCACTTTGACTTGCATCAGCTGATCAAATCAATCAAATCATTGACGAGAAAAGAGTCTGATGGAAACAATGATGATGGAATTAAAATACAAGAAATATTAAATCTAGTTGATCTCTTGATACGAAGATCGAACCAATCTTCTATAACATATTTATCTTATTCAAATTAATGATGTTTAATGGTTCAAAATCATAATATTTAACAGTTTAACCTCTTCGTTTTCTTCTTCATCTTCATCTCCGACATCTTCATTTTGATTCCATCATTTTAGTTTTGATTACATAGATCTTAAATTTTGAACACCCACTTCATTTTCAAATATTAAAGTTAAAAGAATACTTATAAAGAAAAGACACAAAAAACACCCGATCTAGGTTGATTCACCTTCATCTTTTACCATCAATTGTGACCAATGTTCTAAATAACGTAAGGCGTGACTTGGCCGCAATGTCAAGCCTCAAGCTTTTCCAAGCCTTGGTGAGCCAAGTTGTTTGTAAGGCGTGACTTAAGGCGGCAATTTTGTATATAAGTAATATTTTTATATGTATTTTCAACTATTATTCTATTTTATACACCTATATAAGTTAAAACGGCGTTTTGGTAAAGCTTGGCGGCAAACATAAACATTGGAGTCATGGCGCGCCATGACGGAGCAATGGCGAACTTTTTAGAACCTTGATTGTGACTATATCGATGACATGATTCACTTGTCTAACATGAGGGAGAGATAGAGAGAGATGGTCCATTTTTATTTTATAATTATTAAAATACTAAATAAATGTTAAAAATATATAAAAACAAATTAAATTTGTATAATAGTCTTTTCAGTTTTAACAATAATCAAATTCATAAAATAAATTCTCATCTTCGGATTTATGATGGAAGTTTAAAACTTTTTAAATTGAATCCAAAAACCCGCAAAACATATGGACAAAATTTTGTTTTGGACTCTTAATTTAAATAATTTTGATTGAAATACGAATTAAATAAATAAATACTCATAAAAGATATAAAGAAAATGGGTACAAAAGCATATGGATGGATATTGGAGATAATAATAAGTTGGTTTTGTATGTCCAGCTCAGTATAGTTAAAAGCCGGCCCACGTAGGTCAGCTTTGCTTTTCGGCATCTTTTGTATTTCAGCGGCTCACCATCTTACCCTAACTTTTAAATATTTAATACCATTCTCTCATCAACCAAAATATATTAACCTTTCTTAACATAATCACAATATTTTTTATTACTACAAAATTCAAATATTTAATAAAAAAAAGTATAAAATAATAAAATAATGAGTGGTAATTAATAAGTTAGTGAGTAGAGTGAATGAATAATGATTCTTTGAGGTATCCCCTTCATCTCCATGTGGAATTAAAGATTCCCCTTTAATTGGGTTGTTGTTTGTGATGCACTCAATTCCATCTCCACCGCCACTTAATTCCTTTCAACTTTTATTACTACTTTTGGGGTTTTATTTATCTTTTATCTTTTTTAGCATTTAATTATTCCTGTATTTTTATAAATCACATGTTTTTGTATTTGTTTTTGTTTATTAAATCAGTATCACATGATTAGAGATTTTGATTCCGGAATAAAAATCTAATGATATGTGATCTTTTATGAAAGAAAAATAATAATATTTTAAAACTGATTATTTTAAGTATATAAAGTAGGATTGTGTAAAGAATAAATGGGTTTAGAAAGAATAATAGCTTACCATAATCTTACCATCCTAAGTTAATCATGTTTGGAATGGGAGATACAAATGTAATTGCGTATGGGTTTTTGTTTACGTGCAACTTGTGTTGGTTTAAAATGAATTTGAAAACGACATAAGGGCCGATTACTAACGACAATAATATTTGGTTTCAAGTAAAATATCAAGGTTTCGTTTCATTTTAAACTTACCAGAGAAATATCTTAATATCACAAGTCATATAAATACGTCTATGTTTGATTTGATAACATTACATGGCT